CATCCATCAACCCATCCACCCATCCATCCATCCATCCACCCATCTACCCATCACCCATCCACTGTCCACCCATCCACCCATCCACCCATCCATCTATCCATCCGTCCACCCATCCACCGGTCCACCCATCCACCCATCCATCCACCCATCCATCCATCCACCCACCCATCCACCCATCCATCCATCCATCCACCCATCCATCCATCCACCCATCCATCCACCCATCCACCCACCCATCCCCATCCATCCATCCATCCATCCATCCATCCACCCATCCATCCATCCATCCATCCACCCACCCATCCATCCATCCACCCACCCATCCATCCATCCATCCACTCGTAACTCAGTGAGGCACTTCCTGTGTTCATTCCCTTTATTTCCAGAGGTCAGGGAGGCCCTGGGATGGGTCAGGTCTTGGCCTTGTGTCCAGTGTCCTTCTGTCTGTCTGTCTGTCTGTCCGCAGGTCAGTTGAAGGCGGGCAGGCTGAAGAGCTCGGGTTGTATGTCACCCAAGGAGGGCAGCAGCAGGGTGGCCCCGGCCGTTGAGTTCGGGGTCGAGCTGGACGCTGGGCACCATGACCACCTGCATCCCCGCTGCCCGGGCGACCGCCATGCCGTGGGGCGTGTCCTCCAGCACCAGGCACTGCGGGGTCAGAGGGCAAGAGAGACACGCGGAGTGAGAGGTCGGCCGGGGGGTGGGCCGGGTCCCCAGTGTTGGAGGGAAGGAAGGGGGGAAGGAAGGAAGGAAAGAAGGAAGGAGGGAAGGAGGGAAGGAAGGAAGGAGGGAAGGAAGGAAGGATGAAAAGGAAGGATGGAGGGAAGGAACAAGAAGGAAGGAGGGAAGGAAGGAAGGAAGGAGGGAAGGAAAGAAGGATGGAGGGAAGCAAGGAAGGAGGGAGGGAAGGAAAGAAGGATGGAGGGAAAGAAGGAAGGAGGGAGGGAAGGAGGGAAAGAAGGAGGGAAGGAAGGAGGGAAGGAAGGAGAGAGGGAAGGAAGGAGGGAGGGAAGGAAGGAAGGAGGGAAGTAAGGAAGTAGGGAAGGAAGGAGGGAGGGAAGGAAGGAGGGAGGGAAGTAGGGAAGGAAGGAGGGAAGGAGGGAAGGAAGGAGGGAAGATGACCGTTGAGCCACGGCGTGCCTACTGGCATGTTCTCTGTGTGATTTCGAGGCCTCCCCCACCCAGGGCCTGGTGTGGGCCAGGTGAGCACTGTGCCAAGGAGTCTCCCTCCCTGTTCCCCTGGGGCCGTCTGTCCATCCGTCTCTCCATCCGTCCATCCGTCTGTGTGATTGTGTGTTTGTCCGTGTCTCTCTGTCTGTCTCTGTGTGTCTGTCTGTCCCTATATCTGTCTGTCTGTGTCTCTGTGGTCGGTCTGTCTGTTCTGTTCTGTGTATCTGTCTGTCTGGACTCTTATGTCTGTCTGTCTGTCTCTGTCTGTGTGTCTATGTGTGTCTGGCCATGTGTCTCTGTGTCTGTCTATCTGTGTGTGTCTGTCTCTGTATCCGTCTGTCTGTCTATATGTCTATTTGTGTGTCTCTGTAGTCTGTCTGTCTGTGTGTCTGTCTGCGTATGTATGTCTATCTCTCTGTCTGTCTATCGGTGTGTGTCTGTCTGTCCGTGTCTCTGTGCTCTGTCTGTCTGTCTGTCTGCCTGGTCTGTGTATCTGTGCGTCTGTCTGTGTCTATCTGTCTGTCTGTGTGTCTATCAGTGTGTCTGTCTGTGTCTCTGTGGTCTGTCTGGTAGGTCTGTGAATCTGTGTGTCTGTCCCGTCTCTTGTGTCTGTCTGTCTGGTCTCTGTGTCTGTGTGTCTATCTCTCTGTCAGTGTGTCTGTCTGTCTATCAGAGTGTCTGTCTGTCCGTGTCTCTGTGGTCTGTCTGTCTGTCTATGAGTCTGTCTCTGTGTCTGTGTCTCTATCTGGTTTGTCTGCCTGTCGGTCTGTGTGTCTATCTGTCTGTCTGTCTGTCTGCATGTCTGTCTGGTTTGTCCATGTGTCTATCTGTGTCTTTGTGTCCGTCTCTGCGTCTATCTGTGTGTCTCTGTGTCTGTCTGTCTGGTCTGTGTATCTGTGTATCCGTCCATGTCTGTCTGTCTGTGTGTCTCTCTGTGTGTGGTCCATGCAGTGGACCCAAGGCCCGAGGCCTCGGTTTACCTGGTTGACGTGGGGGTGGGGGAATGAGGAGAGAACCTGCAGGTGCAGGCCAGGAAGATGTCCGGAGAACCTGCGGGCGCAGGCCAGGAAGATGTCCGGGGTGGGCTTGCTGGCCTTGACCTCGGGGTCATCACCCAGCACCACGTGGTGAAAGGCACCGAACAGCTCCCGGTGTGCACTGGTCTTGGCCTGGTAGGACTCAGTCCCTGAGCTGGTGGCCAGGGCGAAGGGGATGCTGTGCTTCTGCAGGTGGAGGA